CCATTCATAATCAATCGCTGTAGAGAGAATACTCTAGAAATTATCAGACATAATTCTGAATTGAGAAAAACCTAAACAACCCATACTATAAAATGAATGAAATGTAACTATAATAGTTAGAAAAAGGTGATATTACTGCTTCTAACCCTAACTACATCAATGCCAATATTAGGAAATACTGCAAAATGTGATTACTTTCTTCATAATAGTGCCTACCCTTCGGGACATATTTTCAGATATTAAACTTATTGTTAAAATAAGTTCACTAAAATAACTTCCCAATGTTAGCAATATTCTTATGATCCTTTAGACATTTGAGTTTATGAGGGGAAAAAAATATAAATTGAGCAATCTCTTCATGGACAAAGTCAGCTTGTGAATTTATTTTAACTTGAAACTCAGTTACTCAAGCAAAATATAAAACTTAAAAGGCTTGTGAGGCCATATCTAGTGTGTTATTGATGCTATAGTAGGGCTAGGTATAATACAGTTCAAAATTGAATTTCAGAAATGTAACAGTTTACATTATAAAAACTAATATATTTACCTAAATTGGTACAGTGATGTGTGTGTGTGTGTGTGGGGGGGTGTTTTCTAGTCCTCCAGTTGAAGTTAAATACAGATATTTATTACATTGCAATGAATTCAAAACATATTCTATATGCTTAAACTTTGACTATGTTGACCATGAGAAGTATATGTATATATAGAGGAGACCTATTAAACCCACCCAAATCACAAAAGAAAATTATTTTTCTGTTAGAATCCTTTATTAAATAGGCATTGTTTCCACTGTGGTTTGTACTTTCAAATATAGTTTGGGGTTTCGGCCCAATTTACTATGAGAATGAGAGGTATTTGTGAGTGAAAGACAATGGACAACATTAAAAATCCCAAATCTAAAGCTTCAGAAACTAGAGCTTCAGAGAGCAGAGGTTTCTTTTATGTTTTAAAATATTTTCAGAATGTTGACACTTAACGCTGAAATAATTCTCAAATGCAGAAATATAATGTAAGTGGGTTTATAACTCTTTCTAAGCTGATGTGTTTTGCCTGTTAAAAATTATGCTGCTCAATTAGTGTTAGAGGCCTTATGTTTGGTAATCACATGTGTCTGAGCTATACGAGTCTCTATATGTGTCTGTGTTTTGTTCCGTTACTTGATTCTTGATTCAAATACTCTATGTGTAATTGTATAACATATTGAAAAAGTAAGTGGGTTAAAAAAGATGGTTGAATATATGCTAAGAATACCTTTATATGTAAAAAGTATTGAACATATTTATGCTGACCCGTCTGCCTTTTAGCCTGACCCCTTCACTCTAGGGTTATGGATGGCTGTTGGAAACTTTTACAATAAGCTAAGTATTGTTGTATCTTGCAAAAAAAAAAAAAAAAAAAAGCCACCACTCTTGAGAAGCAGGGCCTTGGAGGGTGGGAATGTTTTCATACTGGGATTACTGAGATCTTGCAGATGTGTGAATGCATCTGTTCCATTTAAGGTGCCCTTAATGTGTTGAATGTAATTTATTGAATGTTTATGTGCAATTGATAAAGTATCTAAATGTATGTGCATAAGATTGTCACAAGATGTATTCTCAGGAATACTGTTACCTGGAGTTTGAAGGAATAGCTATTTTTAAAAAATGGTAGTAGGAGATTAGAGAAACTTTTAAAATAGTTAACAAATTTTTGAATGATCAAATTATTGAGTATAAAAACAATTACATATGATAAATACAATATTGGTAATACTAGATCTTTCTTAAGCTATGATGCTTAATAATATTCATCTTGTTCAGAGGACAATTAAAACAGGCACTTACTTCCCATGTGTAAAAAATTGGACTCAACTGAGAGGTTGCTTTTTCAGAAATTAACTTTTGAGAGAAATTGGAATAAAAACTTATCATCCATAATAGTGGGTGTAGATTTATAGTACTCCATTTTAATTAAAGCAGTTCAATCCTGGGTACAGCATTTTCTATAGCGAAACATTTTACTCTCCTTTTTTAGTATTTGCTGCTTTCTATAATTCTATTAGACACGTTATTTGATTTTTTTCCCCAATAAAAAGAAACTGAATTGTTGAGTACATTGGGACCATGCACTGGGAACTAGTGTCAAAAAGCATAATTGGGCATGGCAGTGCTGGGAAAACAATCTCTGGTGTTTGAGGATCTGGATAGAGCTTTTGAACCGGCTGAAAGTAACTGGTTTGATATTTCAGGCCTCCAAGAGTACCCAAGGCAGTGTGACAGCTCCCTTCTTTAGTATCTATCTCTTTAGGCAATGAAGAATATTCTCCACTCAGCTGTCCAACACCAACAGAGTCTGAGATGAGAATAGGGCGTGTATAGGGACCTGCAGGAAAGAAAGGGTCAGAAATAGAATTTCAGTCTAAAACACAAATACCCTTCCTCAAGTCAGGAATTTGCTGCTATCACATCAAGCCATGCTGTTGCCATGTGACCTCACACCTCCCATGCCATAGCTTGTCCTTGGCAGTGAGTGAAAGTCCCACTTCCTCACTTACTTTAGTGGGCTTCAACTGCAGCAATTCAGAAACAGAGTTTGGTTTGACACTCAGGACAATGAAGACAAGTTAAGAGTAGAATGTATTTGGAAAAGCTGAAGGCAAACTTATTTATATTATTTTAGGATCATTTAGCATTATAGATCAATGTACCTCCATAATATATTTCAATAGTCACTGTGACGGAAGGATAACAATCCTTTATTAGCCATTTTATAGGTAAAAAAACAAATGATTACACAGCCAACTTCCCTCAGAGGACTCAAGAAGTCTGTTATGAATCCTGGATGACCAAAGAGCACGGAAAAATGCCTATGAATTAATACTGAAAATGTTTATGAAAGATATTTATGAAAGATATTAAGACTTCTGTGTTTGCATATGCACATATAAATAAAATACATCTAAAAATACTTAAAAGGACGGATTGTTTCATTTCTCATTTCTTAACGAAGGGAATAGTTTGACTCATTCAAGAAAGTATTCTGGTAGATTTCCCAGGAGGAATGTTAAGGACCTGGTTGTCCTCTGAATGTGGCCAGAACCATCATGGGGTTCAAGTTACTACCAGTCTTCCTTTTATACAGAGTACAAAGTGCCCTATCCTTACCCTTTAAGGTATGTTGTTGCTAAATTCATTTTTCCCCTCAGAGGGCTGGTATTTCCTGACCCAAAGACTCTAGACACAATTTGGCAGAAGAATAAACACTCATACCTCTCTTCAGTTGTGTCTGAGCAGTAAATAAATGGATTATAATATGTCAATGAGCATTCCTGAGAGGGGAAAAAAACAAGAAGATAAAAGGGATGAGGACAAGAAGCAGAGGAGGAGCGTAGTAATAATAACCACCGTTGTTTAGTTCTGGGCACCAGGCATCATGTGCTGGGCACCTCACCAGGATTTGCTTATTTAATCCTCACAACACTGGACACTGTCTTAACAGATGAGAAAACAATGAAGCAGGGAGAAGTGACTTTGCAGGTCATTGTGGACTCAGAGAAGAAAGATTTATTTGATGTGAACCCCTGGGAGAAATTTATCTGCTGAGATGGACTCCCCACGGTCAACTGAGGGCCCAAATGTTGCATTTCAATTTCCATTTACAGTTTACTTTCAATATTATTTTGTGTTGGTTTCAGGTGAGCAGCATAGTGGCTCGACAGTCCTATACTGTACAAAGTGTTCTCCCCAATATGTACAGTACCCACTGGCATCATACAGTTATTGCAATATTATTGAATATATTTCCTGGGCGTACTTTACATCCCTGTGGGCATTTTGCAACTACCAATGTATACCTCCTAACTCCTTCGCCTCCTCCACCCAGCCCCCTCCCCCCATCCCTTCCCCTCTGGCTACCTCCAGTCCACTCTCTGTGTCTATGAGTCTGTTTCGATTTTGTTTGTTCATTTCTCTTGTTCTTTAGATGCCACATATAAGTGAAATCACATGGTATGTGCGATGCCATGGATGGACTTAGAGGGTGTTATGCTCAGTGAATAAGTCAAATAATAAGAGCCTAGTGGCCATTTGCTGACAGGGGGGTTCTCATCTACACTGAGCCAGGAAGGAAATCCACAGAGGAATTCTAAGCTTTGGGCTCTATGGCCTGCTCATTTACTCCCACTGAGTCCACTATCCCTAGAGGTTTCCTTTTGCCACCAAGGGACCAAGGCCAGCCCAGTCAGACCAGAACTGCCCCATCACGACCAATCAGGACGCATGATGCTGACCAATCAGGGCCCCACGATTCAGACCAATCAGATGTGTACGATTCGGGGTCCCTGGTTTCCATGAAATGGACCTACTTGAACACTTGGGCGGGGGCTTCCCTTATATCAATAAGGCCGCCTCCCCTTTGTCTCAGGGGATCTCAGTTCAGGGTTTACCAGGGTCTGTATCTCCTACAGCAGCTTTTGCTCCAATACATGCTTTTCAGTCCTTAGGATAGTCTAAAATTAATTTTGGGTTACCTCCCCCAGCTAGTGTCTCATCATAGAGCTATGATTCCGCCCTAAATCTGACCCCTTCAGCTTTTAGGACCAGTTCCAGGAGAGAGAAATAAGGAAGAAGTGGTTTTTCCTTTGTGTGTGTGTGTGTGTGTGTGTGTGTGTGTGTGTGTGTGTGTGTGTGTGTGTGTGTGTGTGTGTGTGTGTGTGTGTGTATGTGTGTGTGTGTGTGTATGTGTGTGTGTTTTAAGAGTAACAGGATGGAAAGGAAAGGCACACACATGATGGAGAAACAGACTGTAAAGCAAGGAGGAAAAGAAGGCGTTACAGGAAGGTAAGGTGTTAAAAAAAATTTTTTTTTGAGAAAACTCGAGTTCTGCGAGGACCAAACCCGGTTTTAAAAAGGAAGGTCAGAGGCAGTGGGGCCCCTTTAAGCGCGGCCCCGCCCCCCGGGAGGCGGGACTTCCTCCTCCCGGGCGGCCGCTTCCGGCGGAGCCCGGAAGACGCTGCGGGAAGAGGCCGCGTCAGAGCGGCGCGGCCAATCGGAGCGGCCTGCGCCGGCCCGGGACCCGTGCGGGCACTCGCTCCGGGGGCCGGCACCATGGCGTCGGGCTGCAAGGTGGGGCCGTCCATCCTCAACAGCGACCTGGCCAGCCTGGGCGCCGAGTGCGTGCGGATGCTGGACGCCGGCGCCGACTACCTGCACCTGGATGTAATGGACGGGTAACTGCGGGCGCGGGCCGCGCGGGGCGGCGGGGGAGCCTGTTGGTGCGCGGCGCCCGGCTCCGCGGCCGCCGGACGGGGGGCGTGGGGGGGGCCGGGCCGGGGGAGGGCGGGGGGCCGGGCCGGGGGATGGAGGGGGGCCGGGCCGGGGGAGGCCGGGGGACCGGGCCGGGGGATGGAAGGGGCCGGGCTGGGGGAGGAGGGGGGCCCGGAAGGGGGGCCGGGCCAGGACCCCGGGCCCCGCTGGGAGCCGAGCCGAGCGGAGCGGAGGCGGCGTCCGGGCCCCGCTCCCCCGCTCCCGGCCGCCGGGCCCTGGGCACCCGGAAGCGATCTCCGTCTCCTGGACACCCCTCCCGTTTCCGGCGGAGAAACTGAGGCCGAGGGGGAGGCATGACGTGCCCAAGTTCGTATCCTGGAGGGAGTTTGGTGGCCACGCCGGGGCCTCCCCGCCGGGGCGCCCTCCGGAGTCGGAGGGCCCAGCGCCGCGCCGGGGCCCGGCCTCGCCCCGTCCCCCCCCCGCCGGGCCGGTCCCCCCGCCGGCCGGTCCCCCCGCCGGGCCGGTCCCCCCGCCGGCCGGTCCCCCTCCGGGCCGGACCCCCGCCGGCCGGTCCCCCCGCCGGGCCGGTCCCCGTCGCTGAGTGAGAAAGGCGGTCCCGGGGCCACCGCCGCCCGCCAGCTGCGGGGGTGAAGCGAGGGGGTGCGGGCGCGGGCGCGGGCGCGGGCGCGGGCGCCCGGCCTGTGCGAGGTTCACAGTGGTCGGCGGTGTCACGGCTCCAGTTGTGATTTTGCAGTCCGTCTGGGGGCCCTGCTCCGGGAGCCAGCTTTTGTTTGTTTGTTTGTTTGTTTGTTTGTTTTTGTAAGTTTTAAGCGCCGTGGTGACGGCACCTGATGCTCTTTGGGACCAGGATGATGCTGGTGTCCTCGTTTGATTCTAAAACGTGGACCGAACCCGGAGGGAGCGGTGGGACGCTCTCCTGGCCGCTGGGGTCGCCGGGGTGTGCCCGGCGGCTCTGAGCCCCGCGGGGCCTGGCCATTACCCCTCAGCCTCCCCCCGGGGGGCAGGAGGTGCATTGGTCTCAGAAGGAGGGTGCCCGCATGCACCCCTGCGGGCTGTGTCATTTACAAAAGAGGGTCCGTTACTTCTCCGTTAACGCCGCTCCTCTTACGGGAGTTTTGTCTTCCTTTGCGTGGTTAGGTCTGTAGCTTCTCTTTTTCCTTCCGCTCAGATACCTTGCACGTTTGACCACCTGATTGATAATGGCCTTAGAGTACTCTGGGAATTCTAGGCAAAGAGTGTAAGAACGTTAGTAAATATTACCTCTCACAAAAGCTTGCTCTTTTTTAGTTTGGTATCGTATGTCGTTCTGCTTCTGTCGTTTTTTTGGACAGCTTTTGCTTGAAAGCCCTGACCTCTCACAGGTGATATTGCTGAGCGGAGTGTGTACCACAGCGATGGGTAGCTGCATGTTTGTGTCAGAGACACCCAGGGGGTTCAGGATGGAACAGGCTACATGGATTTGTACTAGAAGGTAGTCTCTCTCGGACACAGAGAACAGTTTGGCTTTGCAAGTCCTGTTCACCAAAACTGGGGATATTAATGATAACAACAGCTCTTAGCTGTTTCTGTCCCAGTGCTTTTTGTGAACTATCATAACTCACACGACTGGAAGAGGTTGGTGCTGTCCTTAGCACCAGCTTTTGACCGTGAGGAATCAAATGCAGAGAGATGAAGTCACTCTCAGGGGTTTCCTAGCTGGGAAATGGTGGAGCCAGGATAGGAAGCATGCAACAGCCGTGTTGTCTCAGAAATACATGTCTTCTGTGGGTAGTGAGCTTACAGAGAACGACTGAGCCATTCTCTGTCCTTACAGAGCAGCTAATACTTTATCACTATTTTTTGTTCCTATTTCATGTCTCTCCTGCTATACTGTAAGCTCCTTGAAAACAGAATCTGTCTTTCTGCTCAACTCCATTCTCTGCAGGTAAAGCACCATGGCAAGCTTAGTTATAGTTGATCCTATAAATGAAAGGCTGTATCATAATCCCAAGATTAAGATAAAAATATTTGTTTTTTATTGACCCATCTCCCCCTCTGCAAGAGACATCTTAGTATGAAAGAACTAAATTCTGCATACACCACCTAAAAACCCTTTCCCTTTTAAGCTTCACCCCTTTTTGAGTTCACAGCTAGTATCCCTATTACAAAGGAGGAAACCAGTTTCAGCAGGTTCAGCCCCTTCCTGACTGTCCCACCAGAAGAGGTAAAGCCAGGCTGAGCTGGTGGCCCCTAGGCCAGGGGCATGGAGGGGCAGGAGAGGGGGTTGATGGTGACTCCTTTCCCTCCAGCTACCGTTTCCAGGCTTTTCTCTCCGGGCTCCCTTTGAAAACCTCCAACATCACCCTGAGTTTGGGGGTTTGTCTTTTCTCCCCCACTCTCCCACTAAGGCTCCATTTCTCTTCTGATTAAACAATGACTTTATCATGAAAGTCGGGAACAGTTGTGGAAACCCTGTGGGAGGTGGGGCATGGTGTGGTTAGATGTCTGAAATAAAGGACGGGGGAGAAGTAAGTTAGAGTGCACATACATGCATCATGACGGACGTGCTGTTTCCTGCATGTGGAAACAGGCCAAATAAGCACTTTCTTTCTTGTTGTTGTTAATCCTCATTTGAGGACACTTCCCCATTGATCTCTTAGAGAGAGGGAAAGATAGAAAGGTCGATGTGAGAGAAACGCATGGATTGGTCGCCTCCTGCATGCGCCCCAACCAGAGCTCTGGGCGACGGAGGAGCCTGCAACCAAGGTACATGCTCTTGACCTGAATCCTTTGGTCTGCAGACTGATGTTCTGTCCACTGAACAAAACCAGCTAGGTTGCAAATAAGCAATTTCTAAGTTAATTACCAGAATTTAAAATTGGGGAGGTTTCATATTAATACTAATAATTAATCTGACTTTTGAAAGGCATCAAAAGACTGGAGATGAATGGCAGCCACTATTAGCCAGGCCAGATGTTCTTTATTCACTGTTTTGCTTCTCCATGTCCCCTGCTAGTCCTTGTAAGCATATGAATTTGTGATTCCTAGTTCAGAGGAATTGTTTTCTGGTTACAGTCTTTTGACATTTAATATCAAAGTTAGCCCGTCGCTTATCATCTTTGCCTTTTTGAGAGATCTGGTAAAAGCTTGATATGTCTAAAATATATTGCATGACAATTGTAAACAAAGCTTAGGGTTGGTGGAACATGTTGAGAGTTAAAATAATTGTATCCTGTGTTATAGTAAATAATTATAATTTAATTTCAGTAGTTTTCTGGGGGGGAAAGTTTTTTTATTGATTTTTTTTCCTTCAAACTTTACTCCCAAAAGTACCCTCAAGGGAAAAAAATCGATAATGTAATAATAAAGCAGACTTTTTTGATAAGCTTTTTCTTCATTAAAGTGAAATATTTTACTGTTTTCCAAGCTGGTCTGATAACAGCTCCCTGTGCACTTAAGAATTCCGAGTCCCATGCCCTCTTTGGTGGCCATAGGCCCGGAGGAAAGTCTGTAAACCCTTTGCTTGTAAGTGTTCACCTGGTTACTGTTGTCCAGCAAATTCTTGGTCACCCTAAATCCATGTTTGCTTTGTAGCCTTTTTTTTGTTATGGCGTAGGTATGAGCCTTTGGCTTCTTAGGGTATTGGTGCATTTTTGTTCTCCCAGTGGACTTGGTGAGCGTGGTGCATTTAATTGATCTTCAGCGGCACAATTTGTCATATAATTTGAGGGTCAGTAGTTTTATACAGTCTGTTTCTGTTTCTCAGTGGAATAAAAGTATATTTGTTTCGTTCTTATATTTTCTCAAAATGTGGTGATGCTTATTTTCATGATGCCGTATTTTCCGGCGAATAAGACGACTTTTGAAACGAAAAAAAAAAAGTCAACCGAAAATCGGGGCCAAAAGACCAAAATTGCACAAAAATTACCTGCAGATCTTGACTGCAAAGTAAGTCTTTTCTTTGAAGTGGGGGGTGGTCTTATACAGCGAATATAGGCCTAAACCTATGTTTTAACTGTAAAATTAGGGGGTCGTCTTATACGCCGGAAAATATGGGTAAATGAAACCTAAATTTGAGACAACAAACGTACAGGCATACCTCAGAGATGCTGAGTTTCATTCCTGATGTCTGTAATAAAGTGAGGCTTGCAGTAACCTGAGTCCTCTTTATCTTTTTACTGGTGATGGGGTCTTGCCTTCAGTGTGTGTAAAACCACCACCAACAAAAAACACACCCGTGAAGTGCAATAAAACACGGTATGCCTGCACTTCCAAGGCCAGACAGCAAATTAAAAAAACAGTAAACGAAATCCAAATCTGTCATTTCCAGAGTTGTATAATATTCATTAAGCCTCACTGCCTCCTTCTCTGACTCTTACTCCCAACATGTAAATAATCATAATAATCGCCTAGGAATAACCCTAGCAATTGTTGCTCTTAGGCAAATGCTAGATGACCCGAAATGCTAAAACCCCAGCCTCCGAGGGGAAAGTGGCTGTGACACACACACACTCACACCCACACCCACACCCACACACAAACACCCCCCAGTCTCAGGCCCCTCCCAGCTGTGCCCTGTGTCTGACCCTCCCCCTAACGCTCCTCACCTGCACTCGCCTTTTCTGCTCCTTACAGTTTGTTGGAGGCAGGTGAGACTGTAAGGAGCTGGAACTTGGAGCCATTTAACGCTTGCCTCCAGCACTCCCTGGTTGTGTGGCCTTGGGCCTCCTTATCTATGAAATACAGATAACGTGGTATCTCCCTCGAAGACTTGGAAGTTTTAATGAGTTAACATATGAAAAGTGCTTAGAATGGTGCCTGGCCCATTAAGTTTAAACTGCTAAAATCTCACTTTAATACTCATTCAGCCTGTCATCTAAGCTTAAAATCTTAACCAGGGTGAATTCTCTCTACCACACCCCGAACTTACCAGTTAACAAATCCTTTACCAGCCTTTGTTTCTATTATTGTTCCTTGCCATTTGCCAACACCTATTACCTCCCTTCTTCCTTCCAATTTACTGCCCAGACCCTTTTGCATCTTATTTTTTATTTGCTTTTTATTTTAAGACCTCATTTCATATTTACAGCTTGATGAAATCTAAATACTGAGCCAGCATTTGATACCCTTACTGGGACAGAGTTGGCTTCCTGCCTTTTTCACACTACTAACCAATCTGGTAGACACCATTTTTCTCCCTCTTTGAGCATAGCTTGTTTATTTCTGCCTTTGCTTCATTTATTTTCCCACCTTTAAAATTCTGTGTTGTAAATCTCATGATCTTCGCCCCCTCTTGTATAATAAAATGCTTTACTCCCTGCCTCTGGAACCGGTTTTACCTCATATTTGACTACTTATTATTGTTTAGCTTTTCTTGCAATCCTCATATAGGGTAATACCTATTACTTTTAACAAATGAAGCCTATATTCCAGTGGCTTAACATTACAAAGTTTATTTCTGATTCATGTAACAATTCAGTGTGACTGTCCTTCACTGATAAAGTTCAGTGGCATAGACTTTTAAAAAAAATATTTATTGAAATATTTATTGAAAGTGTTACATATATTCCTTTCTTCTCCCATTGCCTCCTCCTAGCCCACCCCTGCTCCCCTGTGTCTATGGGCTATGCATTTATGGATACAAGTTCTTTGATTGATCTCTTCCCACCCACCCCCACCTTCCCATCGAGATTGGACAGTCTGTTCCCAGGGCCGGCCATAGACTGTTCATCCTGTGGCTTGCCTATTCCTGAAGGGCTCCTTTATTGGCAGGAGGGTAAAATGAGCACAGGAAAAGAACACCACTTTAACCCCCTGGGCTCTGCAGTGACACATAACTTAAACTCACGGCCTACTGGTGAAGACCAGTCCTGTGGGCCAACTGGATGTAAAGGGAGCTGGGAGCTTGGTTGTCTGCATTGGCTTCCTGTCAACTGTACAATAACAGCAGGTCATGAGTTCTGGTGAGTTATGAGGCATCTCCTGCCAATGAGAGTGTGGCATTTTCTGGGCTGGCAGGGCCTCTTCCATGTGTTTCTTATAAAATACCGTACTCTGAAGCAACCACGCATGGTGCTTAGTAGAACCTGAGGACTAACAGGAGTAGGATGACGTTAAGTACTTTGGATCTGATACTTGGTAAACTTAATTTGACTCTTGCCCCACAAATAATTAATTGGTTGACTTAAGGAAGTTATTTATCCTATGTTCTTCATATAATAGATTTACTTCATAAGGCTGAAAGTTTAAATAAACTGTCATTTAAGGCCCTGTGGTATAGGATTAAAAGTAGCCTCAGCCAGCCTATAACAAACTAAGATATGAAAGATCCATATTACAGTCCAAACTTTCTGACTAGTACAGAGGGACTTCTTTCTTGAACATCTCCCATCTGGAACAGTTTACTTCTCCACCTGACAGCCTTTCATGCTGATACCTGTATGATCAGTCATGCATCTCAGGTGACAAAGGAAAGAATGAGCAAGTATGAGTCAATTTACCACTGTTAAAATCTCAGGATATTATGCTGTGAATATCTTCATGTTTTTTTGCTGCTTATAATTATTGCTAGATTTTCATTTTTTATACTATATATTTTCTTTCCTTTTTGATAAATTTACATTTAATGTCCTTTTTGTTTTTAAAGTGTTTATAAGTTAAACAGTATAATAGACATGTACTATATATAAGAAAGGTTAAAAAGGAATCATTTGGCATCTGGAACGGATTAATTCAATTTACATTATTTCTAATGGGGAAAATGACTCAGTTTTCGAATAGCCTTCAAGAATGAATTAAGTTCCAGAAATGAGGTACTGCTGTATATGACTTGGGCAAGTCATATAACTTCTGGGTTTTGATTTTGTCAGGGATTATGAATTACAGAGTTAAATCATGTGATTATTATGATTTGTTCAATATCAAGGAGATACTTCTTTGTAAATCCAAAATTATCCAGATAATTCTAGTATTGTTTAATACTGATGACATTAAGTATTAAATTGAAAAATAGTATAATCACAGACATCCCCTCTACCCCCATCAGCATACATATTGAAAATATCGTCAGAGTAAGGTTTTGTTTGTCTTGTAGGCATTTTGTTCCCAACATCACCTTCGGTCACCCTGTGGTAGAAAGCCTCCGAAAGCAGCTAGGCCAGGACCCGTTCTTTGGTAAGTGGGTGTTATGCCAGCTGAAGCTGGGTGTGTTGCTCAAGTAAAGGAAAAAAGATGGTCGATTTCTCAACTTTCAGTGTCATCTAGAGCCCTTTCCCCCATCTCTGCGCTGGGCTTCAGTGGCTGCCTATGATAAGTCACACTCTTGCCTGTCTCAGGGCCTTGGGGCTTTTGCTAATTTCTTGCCTGGAAAGCTACTCACTTGTCTAGGTCCGCTTCCTCATTTCTCATTTCCTCAGAGAGGCCTTTCTAAGCACCCTATCTTAAGTTAACCCTTATCCAGTTATCATATCAACTTCTGGATATTCTTCTTAGGACTTCCTTTAATCTGAGGTTATTTTTATCGGACTGTAAATTTCTTGATTATAGAGATTTCCTAGAGCCAAGCATAGAAACGAGATAGGGGCTCGGTGTAATGTAAAAAGAATTTATGAATTGATTGATTTTTATGGTCTAGAAATAGAGCCAGTTATTTCATGCAAATTGGAGCTTTCTGCAAGTGGGGCCTATATATGTTCCCACTTCAGTGCCGTAGGATATTGTGAATTAAGGTTTATAAGATCACACAGTAACCTAGAAGTTACTTGTAATGGAAAATGAACTCAGCCCACATATTTTTGCCGCTCTTTTAAACTAAGCTAGCAGTGCCTCACTTGCCAAATCTCTTTTATGTAAGTTTCTTCGTGGTATTAGCCATATTGCAAGTTCTCAGCCACACCTGGCTAGTGACCACTATACATATTACATAGTACCACTATGGAGGATTGCCATCATTGTAGAAAGTGCTGTTGGACAGAGCCTCTCTGTAGTATCCGTCCACTTTTAGTGAACCAAAAAATGTACATTATCACCTAATTTATGTGGCAAAGGAAAACGGTGTTCCATCAACATGTTCACCATTTTGCAATTTCCAAATAATGGAATTTTTCAATATAAATTTGTTCTTCTGACTATCAGAGGTGGATGAAATAAGTAACCTTGTTTGTCCCCCTTATACAGTGGCCACCGAGTCCTGTTTCTGGCTTTGTGTATGGATTTTTTTTTTTAAAGATCCCCCCCCCCCCTTTTTTTTTCTCCCTTTTATTTGGTTGCCTGGTGTCACTTCTCACTGCTGTTTGTGTCTCCTCCTATCAGTGCTTCTCCTCTTACCAACTCTACTGCCACCACCATGTACACTCTGCTTTTTCTTCTTGTTTTAGTTTATTTGCTGATAAAGTCACAAATTAACCTTTCTAGAATTGGGTCTAAAATAAAGAAGAATGGACTCTGTGTGCTTTAATGTTGCATTTTGTGATCTTTGCTTTTTTTTAATTAAAGTGTGTTTTTGTTTAATTCTTAGATCTTGGCTATTAGATAATTGACACGTGAATATATTCTAGAAACTAAACCACAAGTTGTATGTATAACTGCTAGAGTTCTTAACTGTTTGATCTTAGTACTGGGTACAAATAAAGTGGTAGAAAAAGTCTGTTTTTGCTATTATCCAGATCATTGGTCTTCAAGTTTGGTCTGAGGACCCATGGAAATCCCTTTCAGTTGGTGTATGAGGTCAAAACTGGCTTTATATTACAGTATTATTTGCCATATTTGTACTGAGGATGCAGAAGCAATGGTGAGTTAGTCTGCTGCTGCCTTAGCTCTAATTAAGGCGGTGGTATTCAACTCTGCAAGCAGTCATTAACATTCTTCATTGTGATGTGTTCATAGTATCTGTGATGAGGTGGTGCAAATGATTAATTTTAGTAAGTTATGGTCCTTGAATGCATATCTTTTTACTATTTTGTGTGACAGAGCAGAATGTACAAATAGGCACCTCTGCTGCATGCTGGAGTGTGATGGTTTTCTCAAGGGAACCTCTTAGGCCATTGTTTCTGATGTGACTGAACTATGTGCTTTTGGTAGGAACATCATTTTCACTTGAAAGAACAATTGACAGGTTGAACTGTGGTTATTAGACTTGTGTTTTTACTAACCTTAAAAAAAAAATTTAAGTTAGCGTGTCACTGCAAGGAAAAGACCATATTAGCTTTTGTTGCTCCCTGATAAAGTTAGAGCTTGTAAGTGAAAATTAGAATTTTGATAAACGGCCAAAACCGGTTTGGCTCAGTGGATAGAGCGTCGGTCTGCGGACTGAAGGGTCCCAGGTTCCATTCCGGTCAAGGGCATGTACCTGGGTTGCGTGCACATCCCCAGTAGGGGGTGTGCAAGAGGCAGCTGGTCGATGTTTCTCTCATCGACGTTTCTAGCTCTCTCTCTCTCCCTCTCTGTAAAAAATCAATAAAATATATATTTTTTAAAAAAGAATTTTGATAAACACGTATCTGCTGCTATGAGCTTGACTAATTCCTACTAAGAGCTTTTCTGTTGTGATATAATAAATGTGCTTTTTATAGCATATAATGAAATGTATCTTACTTAGAAGATCAAATTATAAGATAGACCAACAGGTTTTAGTACAACAAAGTAAAAAAGGTTACTGGTAGGGTTTACAAATTCCACATTTCAGCCACCCTTTGTAAAAGTACCACTTGCTGTGTTTTTGGTGTAGAAATAGAATATCCACACTTGTCTGAAAGGGCTATTCATGTACACCTCCCTTTTAATGTGCTTTTCTTCATATAAAACAACATATTGTAACAGGGTGAATATAGAGGAGATGTAGGGATAACACCTGTTAGAGGTTTGCAAAAATGTAAAATAATCACTCTTACATTAACATCATAAATTTATTATTGCTTATTTTTTTTAATGAATTGATAAGTAGACATAAACATTTTCTTTTCCTTTTTTAAAAAACATATTTTTTATTGATTCCAGAGAGGAAGGAAGAGGGAGAGAGAGACAGAAACATCAGTGACGAGAGAGAACTACCAATCGGCTGCCTCCTGCATGAGCTTACAACCCAGGCATATGTCCTGACTAGGAATCAAACTGTGATGTTCTGGTTTATAGGTCGAAGCTCAACCATTGAGCCACAGTGGCTGGTCAACATTTTTTAATTTGAATTTCTAATTCCTTAAGTACAGGTAAATATAACCCACCTCAGCAGTGCTTTTTGGGTCCTCATTAATTTTAAGAGTGTAAAGCGAGCCTGATAATAGAACATTTGGGAACTGCTCACCTTGGTGTGTTTAACTACAGGCAGATTCGCTGACCCATTGGCTCCCTGAATGCTGGACAGTCCAGTGAGCGCTGCCAGTGGTGACTGCATGGGGGAATGGTAACTTACGGAATGAGTAAACTACGTAGATGTTTTAAACCGGATTGAATTTTCCTTGTTTATAATACATAGTAATAGGAAACACCAAATAGAGTCTGTCTTTTAAAAACAGTGTTTCAACTATTAAAATGTGTTCTGTTTTCCTTCCTTTTGTTTAGAAATATAAACTTGAATCTTGTTGTCATTAGTCAAGTGGTATACTCTTCCTGACAATTTTTCAAAGCCTTAGTGCATTTTATAATCTTACTTGAGTTCTGGAATTCTAGAATTTTTTCTTTAATTACAAGTCAGGATTTTTAAGAAAGTCAGGTCTGTTTTGCCTAATATAGTATTTATATGATTCAAGCTTCAGAATTAGGATGCATGTCAGGCTTCTTTTAGTAATAACATGTCCTTCTCCCCTTCCAATTCATGCTTCCTCCTGCAGTTATTGGAGTTCTCTTCTGGTTATTCCGGCCCCAATCCTTGCACCAGTCTGCCTCTCCTTTCACTGTCCAAACTCGAACCCACAGCAACACTTGTTGGCTCTACAGGACATACCCAGAATCCCACCACTTCCCAACACCCTCAGTTATTACCGTCATCCTTTCTCACCTGGGTCATTGCCATGGCTTTCTGAGTCAGATCTTGTCACTCCCTCACTTAAAATCCAGTGGCGTTTTTCTCATCTCACTCAGAATAAAACCCAATCGCCTCCAGAGCTCAGTGCTGTCTCCTCACCTGGCCTCTCTGACCTCATTTGCTCCAGTCACACTGGCTTTGTTAATTGTCATCCTAGTCTGTATTGTATTTACTTATTTTTTATGGTTTCTCTCCCACTAAGAATGTAATCCTTATGACAGCATATTTTTGTTTGTTGTTTTGCTCTATCCCTAAGGCCTTAAAATAGTTAATTGTGCATTAAGTGCTCAATATTGGTGAAGAGAATCACTTAATTTAGCTTTCTTTTATAAATGAGGAAGCAAGTTTTCACAGATAATGACTTTTAAAAAGTTTTTTTTGAGTCATATTTACTAGACCTGGACCTAGGTTTCCTGATTTCTAGTCATTAATTTTCATATATAGCAACAGATGCTTTTGTAGAAAAAAGGTGTGTGTGTGTGTGTGTGTGTGTGTGTGTGTGTGTGTGAATGAGTTTAACCAAATCCTAATCTTCAGGATAAAAAGAGGCTATTAATACAGAAGTGTAATTATTTAATAATTTTTGTGGTGCCAGAAGAGTGTGTATACAAAATGGGGAAAATTACAGGTTGGCTTAAGTAGTATGAACCAGGTATTTTCCTTTCGGTAATATTTAGGAGATGTGTCCTTTCTTTCTAGATATGCACATGATGGTGTCGAGGCCGGAACAGTGGGTAAAGCCAATGGCGGTAGCGGGAGCTAATCAGTATACCTTCCATCTCGAGGCTACTGAGAACCCAGGGGCTTTGATTAAAGACATTCGGGAGAATGGGATGAAGGTGAGAGGTCAGCCATGACAGTAATATTTTATACTACTCAAGCTCAGAGTTGGGAAGATTTGGTGGAAGGCATTTCTTACATTTCTAAGACCAGACTTAGGCAGCTATTTCATTTGGAAGCCAGTGTATTAAGTATAACTTGTTTGTTGTATAAGTATAATGATGGGTAATAATTCTTCTGAATGACTGCTTTTTTTTAGAAATATTTACATTTAATAGCCTAGTTGACTTTTAGAATAATTATATGGCCTGAACAATTGACGCATTCCATTTATGTATGAATTCTCCTTTTTTGAGACTAGGTATTTCTACGGGGCCTGATATGCCACAGTGCTAACTATAATGTGGAAGTGATTGTAAATGTGATTTAGCACGTTTGTCTCTGTCACAGGTTGGTCTTGCCATCAAACCAGGAACTACAGTTGAGTATTTGGCACCGTGGGCTAATCAAATAGATATGGCCTTGGTTATGACAGTGGAACCTGGGTTTGGAGGGCAGAAATTCATGGAAGATATGATGCCAAAGGTAAAATAAGGATTTGATTCTGGGGTGAGGCTCTTACGGGTGCTCCTTCAATAAATATATATTGAGTCACTTATATACGCTCTGCTCTGAAGGTGGGGAGATGGAAATGCCTACAGATTATTTAATATATTATGATAAATGCCGTAAAAGATTTGGGTCTGGAAATCAGAAAAGATACTACATTTTAATTTTGAAATTTTCTGCCAAAACCATTATTTCTATAGCGTTTAGAGCTTTGGGGAGTTTCCATTAAATATTGAGGGTTTTGTCTTTTTACCATGAAGTATGTTCTCTGAAAAGCCATGACAAATTTAATGCCTTTTGCCAAAAAGAAGAAAGCTTGCTTTTGGGAAACTTAATTTGTTTCAGTATATTAAAAGGGAAGTTTCCCCCAGTCATGGTTTGTATTGTTATGAAATTACTGTGTGAGACATTTGGGGTCCTATTTTAGTGGGAGATATTGGCTGTTTGATGTTTTGTTTATTTGGTTGTGTCCCCATCCCCATCATATCTCCTTTAGGAGTCACTTATTTCCTTGTGTATATCTAGGTTCACTGGTTGCGGACCCAGTTCCCGTCTTTGGACATAGAGGTCGATGGTGGAGTAGGTCCTGACACTATCCATAAATGTGCAGAGGTGAGACTGTGCCTCAACTATGACCCAGACCATTTTCTTATCAAATGTTATGTCGGGCATTGTCTTGTGGGACCAAGAGATTTCCTCTACATTTCCTAAACTGCCTTTCTATCTTGGAAGTGTGTGTGTGTGTGTGTTTGTGTTTTGTAATTCCTCACCTGAAGATATTTTTCCATTAATTTTTAGAAATAGTGGGAGGGAGAAGGTGAGAAATGAATATTTATGTGAGACAGACACATTGATTGGTTGCCTCCTGCTTGCACCCCAACCAGGGCCAGATAACCTGCAACCAAGGTTCATGCCCTTGACTGGAATCAAACCCAGGAAAAAATTGTGTCCACGGGCCAACACTCTCCACTGAGCCAGCGAGGGCGGAAAAGTATTTTTGTTCAAATGTAGAACTCTCTCTATATAAAAGGCTAATATGCTGTGTCTGACTGGTCACTATGACGTGCACTGACCACCAGGAGGCAGACACTCAATGCAGGAGTGTGAGCTGCAGTGACTTGGCCGTGGCAGGGTTCTTGGGTGACGCACCCTGAAACCAGAGAGGAGGGAATCTGATTCCTCGCGGGGCTGTGCGATTCCACCTTCTGCCGTGGATCATGTTGCTGGGGTACTGTCTGCCCCAAATCTGGTTACTGCACACTTGCATTTGCGTTCCACACCGTGTAGACAGCAACTTTGCAGAGTTCACTGTCGCACGTTGGGACCTCTGGCGGGGGGGGGGGGGGGGGGGTGTGTGTTAGGGAGATGTCAGAGAGCTGGTTTTGGTCCGATCCTTGCAGGCCAGGGACCCTGCTCATTCCACAGATGCCCTTCAAGTCACAATGCCACCCCAGGTGCAGCTGGCCAGGGAGGGACCACAGGATACTGTCTCCAGGGCGTGTCTGGCCCTTCTTGCCCTACCCTGCTGGCCACCTTCTAATTAATTTCATTTCAATGTGCACGAATCTGTGCACCGGGGCACAAGTAGGAAAACAAGGAGCAGTAAGTGAATATTCTGAAATCACATAATCATTAAATAGTAAGTTTGGTTTATCTCAGTAATGTTGAAGGAAGTTCCCTTTTGAAAAAGAATATACTGAATTCCAGACTTTAGAAGATCATTAAGTTCCAGGGCCTTGGCTTAATCATTTGTCCAAATAGAGAAAGCATACCTTCTTATAAGGGGAAAAAATGGTTACTCTGTAGAACTTAGGTATTTTGATTACCAATTTGTCTCTTGTAAGAATTGACTAGGGCCATTTTTGTTGACATTCTGGATCTGATCTCTGGATACCTCTAACCCACTGTGTCAAACAGGGATGAGTTTTCTGAGTAGTTAGCTGAGTTGAGAGGTGCCAGCCCTTCCTATAGCACTGCAGGTGGTTGAAGTGGCCTGTTCTTAGTAAACAGCCTTGTCTAATCTACACTTCCAGTTTTTTGTATAAATGCCATACTTTTCTGCTTAATACTTGTCAAATGCCGGGCTGTGAGAAGTGCTAATGGTAGAGGAACTGCCCAGATGTTCAGTGAGCATGTATGCTTTGACTCCCTAAGGAATTCTTTCTGCTAAACTGCTCCTTGCCATTATGCTATTCCTGTTTACATTAAAAGGTGTATTAAATTGTAGCACTGCAAAACTGATTTATTTATTTTTTTCATTTTTATGAGGAATGTTCTTAGACGGGTAGTACACTGTATCACAGAGTGACAGAATCTCATTGGGAACATCTTCTTCAGCTTCAAGTGGTTCCCTCTTCCTTTTGGCAATGAATCACGTCATGGATTGGAAGCACAGAGCTAAATTTTGATTGATATTATTTGCTTTCCTTTATTTTTATATTTAAGAATACCTTGAGATTCGTTAAGCCACCTTAAAACCATTCTGGCTGCAGTGAAGCCTGAGCGAGAAGATGTTGCCATGTTTTATAAATAGCTTCACATTTTAGCAAGATTGTCCTCTCAGACTATCTACCAATTCATTTACATAATTCAAGATTAAAAGATAGGTTTTTTAGTAGCTATGGAGATATTGGTATATATTGGAAAAACCTTATTAGAGTTGAGGATTAAAGATTATTATTAGCAAAGATGCAGTATAGCTTATTTAGAAATAAAATTCAATGATATCTTAGAACATTTAAAAACAAGTTCATTTAAGCATTTTAACTTTTTTCTTCATTGAACCAGATTGTTTCAATCTGTCCTTCTCCAAGTGGCTTTTGTACAGTTTAAATGTTGACAGATGGAAGGATAGAAACTTGAGTCCAGAAATTCTGATTTAGGCTTTTCTGTGTCTTTCTTAGAAGCATAACCAAGTGTTTACTTCTTCCAGGCAGGAGCTAACATGATTGTGTCTGGCAGTGCCATTATGAGGAGTGAAGACCCCAGATCAGTGATCAACCTGTTAAGAAATGTTTGCTCAGAAGCTGCTCAGAAACGTTCTCTTGATCGATGAAAGTACAAGGAGTCCAGTGTCTGCTCATGAAATGCTTTTATTGGAGAACAAGAATATTGACTACCAAATCACATCACAGCTGAGGCATTGTTGCTTTTCTGAGCAGTTCATTCCAGTGACTAGCATCTGTTCTGCAGAATGTCCCAAGAGGTTAGAAATTTAATGATGGGATTTAAAGATTAGTGGGGTGAAATGCCATTTTTACTGGAAGACTTGATTTTTATAAAGCGTAAAAATAGTTGTATTAAAGTTATAAATAGAAATGTCTTAATGCCTAAAGAAGGCACATTAACTACTATGAAAAAAGTTTTTCTCCTTCTAAAAAGAAATTTCTATTGTTTCTTGGCTGCTTTCCAAAAGCAAAGTAAGTTATGTTTTTCCTGTTCCTTGTCATTTTTGGTTTGTCTATTATACATGCGTTATGAGTAGAAGTTAGAGAAAATCTATGGCTGGGATAGCATACCGTATACTTGCTTCTAAAACATCTATTTTTTTACTTTGCATGTTATATTTGATATAAAAAAACAATGTATGAAGCCCAGGATTTTTAAGGTCTGTTGTAAAAAAGCATAGGTTTTATGAGGGTGTTTTGTTAGCTTTGCTTTAGGGACAGATGATTTCCCCACCACTATCTCACTCTTAATCACACTGACCGTTTTTAAGGATATGAGATAATGTGCTAGCTCTGAGCAGAAAGGAAAGACTCATTTTGGAAGGAAGATTGAATTTACTCTTCCCCTTTCCAAGTTTGACTTTAGCAAAATCAAATCAACCAACAACTTTGAGCTTCTATTAACTGATTTATATTGAATTTAATTATAACAACAGAGCAGGGTTGTGTTGAGGATTTAAAAAGATACTCGTACATGTGTAAAGCTTCCACCATTGTTCCTAGAACTGCAATAGAATTGAGAATGCTCAGTACAAGGTAGCTATCATTATCAAGTTTATTTTGTAGGTAATAAAGTACTTTGCTAATCTCATCAAATCTTTGAATCACTCCTATGAGTGGGAAGACAGGTATTTTTGTCCCATTTTTTAAAAACGAAGACACTAAAGCTCAGCAATATGCTACAAGCATGGGAAGGACTCAGTAGGGCACAGCATTTCTGGTCTGTACTCTACAAATGGAGGCCTTGGAAGGTGGATTGGGCAAAGGAAGCTTCTTTACTTAATTGTCTTATTTCCAGTCTAACTTGACCCCTGTAGCAGAACCAGATTGCTGAGGATATCCCAGAACTATGGATTTTGACCCTAAAGGATATGTATTTTATTAATCTAAAAAAGACCAGGTAGGCTAAGAAATGGCAAGGTACAGAATCAATCCATAAACTAAATATATAGTGTCCTAAATCATACTTTGACAATAAATACGTCAGCCACTTTCTTATCGCAAATACTCTTGCTATGTAATACATATGACAAGAAATAACAGGACCAGTTATTAGACTACTGTGAATTTTAAGAAAAAAAAATTGAAAAATAACATGTATGGAATAGAGTTTTTCTTGGTTTTATTCTACATTACAAGGTAAAAATTTATTTCTTAATGTGTACTTTGGCTTAGGAGGAAAGTTTTGTGCCATTTATAGGTGGCGTTTTATCAAATCAGACAACACAAGGCATATAGAAATAACTTTAATTAAAAAACTTTACATAGAAGATTACAATATTGAGACATGACAGAAAGATTTGAGTTTATGTGCCTGGACAACTTGGTTTTGTCTGGCTTTTGTTTTCTTAAAAAAAAATAAAATAAATGTACAATAAAACTACAAGCAAAAATTTGTCAGTATTGAATTTTTCTTCTTTAGAAGGACTAGCATAATTTCTAGTCCCTCACAAAACAGTGTAAAATCCCCCAAGTCTGGGCCAGGATTGTCAGTTATATGGGTACTACAACTTGAATAACCTTTTTTACATGAGAAAAAAAAAATAATTCATATACATTGTCCTCAACTTTTATATAGAAAAAAAGTGATGTAATGTCCTCAAAAGGAATTTTCCTTAATGTACACTTCAGTATCCATTATTGGTAATACTGAAGCATTATCCTTTGGATAGTTTTAATTCTCACTAATATATAAGTAAGAACAGATGCTTATTTGAATAGAGTAATAATGACCAAATTAACTAGAAATGCATTAATATTTTTATACTGACAGAACTTTCCTTTGTGTTGCTTATTTTAAGTTGGTATCTTCATGAGATACATAAAATGAAGTTGCTAAAACTTGAGTTTTAAAAAGGTGATAGTTTTAAAAACACCAATATTTAACTCTACTTCGCTTGTCCTATTCTGTTAGGGGTGCATAGAAAATGACTTGTGTTTAGTCCAACAAATATCACTGATTTCAAATAAAGTAATATTGTGTTACCTGGTATAGAAATTTCCATAAATAACTTCTATTAAACAAATTTTTTTTTTAAATCCCTCTTCATAGTCCAGACTTTTAGGTGTTGTCATTGGAAACCTGTGCTGCTTTATTTATACTGCAGCTTATATTTCATGGAGTAATTCATACATGTATTTTTGAGTACTGCCAGTGCATGTGTGTGTGTATATAAGTATACTCTGTACACACGTTTGTGTATTTCAATGCAAGAAGACCTGTCATTTGCTGTACAGGTGTATGTGTGTGAAATCTAACAGTTTAGCCAGTAATGTGATTTGACACTAAATTGCAGCAGTAAATTTTTTGGTGCTTATGATCTGTATCATAAACACAATTGACTAGCCACTTGTCTGTAAGTGAAAAGCTAGTTAGATACTCCTGTGGTTGCATAAAGAGCATAAAGATTACTATATGCTCTTACTCTGGAATTGTGGCTGGAGGGGCTTATTTTTTCTCCTGTTTTCCATTTAGTTCTATCATTTTCTTAACCTGTTACTTGTCGTCTATTTTTTTTTTAACGTAAGTCCTACAGCATAGGTTTTATACTCTTCCATTCCGTCCTCTGGTGCACTGGTCCAGAAGTCTTCACCACTGAGAGCAGGACTTGTTCTTTCAGTCTGATCTTTTTTCCCATCTTGGCATAATAAGGCTTCTGTGTCTTCATCCTTCAGCGGAAAAGCCCGTCGTTCCCACCACAAAGACTGAAAGAGAAAACATGTTCAGTTAAGTTTCAACTAATTTGTTTTAAGTTAACGTATTAAGTAAGCTGTAAAGGTTAACTTTGTAATAACTATTGTGGTATTCTTTAGTACTTAAATGTACAATTTTTCATTGAATTTAAGTAGGAACTCAAAATGGAACATACTGCGAACTGTTAGAGCCCTCGGGGACTTACTCGTCTCCTCTGCCTCCTCCTTGAAGAGGAAGCTGCCTGGGGCTCTGATCTCATGTGCAGCCGAGGGCGCTTTGAGAAACCCCTTTGATCTACTTCTACACTCACTGTCTGCATGTGTATCCCATCGTTACAGACAACTTGCCTGTTAATCTCTATAGTCTCCATTCTAGATATGGTTCTTCTTTTCCAACACCTACGTGTGAATAAAGGTGGAGAGCTCTATGCAGTGTTAAAAACAGTCTCCGTGAGGTTAGGCCTCCGTCTGTGGGGATGGGGAGACAAAAGAGAAATAGTGGCTAATGTTTACTCTGGGCTAGTGCGTTCTCTTCACTCAGATGCGTTTTGTAATGGAAGTTCGATAGGTGGGATTATTGATTTCCTATACAATAAAAGACTAATATGCAAATTGACCGAACAGTGGAACAACTGGTCGTTATGATGCACACTGACCAACAGGAGGGCAGACGCTCAATGCAGGAGCTGCCCCCTGGTGGTCAGTGTGCTCCAACGGGGAGTGCCACTCCGCCAGAAGCTGGGCTCCTGGCTGGCAAGTGCAGCAGCAGTGGCGGGAGCCTCTCCCCTGTCCAGGCTAAGGATGGCCGACTGACAGCCATCAGTTGGACATCCCCCGAGGATTTGGATGCAAGAGGGCACAGGACCTGCCCCCCCCTCTCTTCCCCCCCCCCCCCCCCCCCCGAGTGCATGAATTTAGTGTATGGGGACTCTAGTGTTCCATAAGAAAGATAAGAGTTATATAGTAACAGAACTGATTGTTGGAGTACAGATCTTATTTGTAGCTAGCATTCTATTCCAGATTATCATACTGAATTTGTTATGGAATGGTGAATGCTTAATGTGCAACCAGCAGTTTTTACAAACAGGTTTTAAAAAGGATAAAAGGCAACTTAAAGGTGCTGTGGTTCCACTTACCTTGGTTTCTTGGCTTTCGTTTGCTGAAGGTGAGCCCTGTGCACTCAGATCCTGGCTCTGTGGACTTTCGGCAGCACCTTGCTGATGACTGCTAAAGTCAGTAGGGTATTCCTTCAGAAGTAAGTCCTGTCCTTCAACGTTTTTACTGTAAGCTCTAGCAAGAAAATTAAGCAAATATTTATTTTTTGAATAAATATTTTATGAGCAATCCAAGTCAATTTAACTAGGTAGCTTTTTTTTTACAAAAATATTTCTGCCCCCCAAATAAATAAATCCTAATTGTATTTTTAGGATTTATCCCGACCTTCCCTCAAAGTCATGTTCAAAGTATTTTAAACTATTTTACTTTTAGACTAGATAGGATTTTACCCAATTCCAATCCCTAGTGATACAGTACGTTGAAATAATCTCCTTTATCTAGAAGAATTATCACATTATTTGCTCAGTTAAATCTATCCCTGAGGCTAACTGTGAGCATTAGAATGAAGTACAGAAACTCATTTCATCACTATGTATGAACCCAAATATATTGAGTGTAAGCTCAGTATATTCAGTGTTTCTCTTCTAGTGTACAAATACCTAAGGTTAAATGGTATCTTTCCTTTTTAGTGACCTCCATCATTGTTGATACAGAGTTTTTGTGGATTCCATGGCTTTGGGTTTTAAATGTAAACATCTACCTGCTGTTTCTTCTGTGCCACTTGCTTTGTTCCCATAGTGACCATCTGGCTTGCTCTCTTGCTTCATATCTTTTGTGTCTTAGAGAGAAGACTTCATCAGAAAGATCTTCTATCTGGAATTAGAAATAAAAAAGTTTGGCTTTTATCAGAAACATTTTGAAATATACGACCAGGTTGTCAATTTCTCATGAGTCAAGAGAACAAATGTTAGGAGATGAGCTTCAAATTCCTAAAAAGAGAGAGTTAAGATTTTTTTTTTAACTTTTTTTTTTAATTATTATTGGGTCACATTTGAATACTATGTCAGGTAGATTACAAAGTTCATAGGGCTTTCTTTTTACATACAATATTCTCAATGTTCTATTTACTCAAAAGTTTGTACTGACTGCACAATATGTAGTATACTGTTCTAGGAATATGTTACTATCACAGAAAAGTAAAACTGATTGTCTGAGATAAATGAGAATTAACTTAATGACTTACCTGGAGTTTTAAGACTTTGGTTATAAAGAATATGAGTGTCCTGGCTAGGATCATACTGAACTAGGGAAGAGTGCATTAAAGATGAGAAGGGCATTAAAAAGTAAATTTTGGTAGTTTAAAAACAGAATCAGTGGTCATAGGAACATTTACAGAAACAAAATGTCTTTTACATAATACACTGTTTTTGTATCACTTTCTAATTCCCTTTGGTTAATGTTTTACTCATATAGATACACAATCCCTTTCCTGCAATTCAAAAAAATCTGAAAAACAAGACAACCCCAAGTTTTCATAATTCATTTGGTGACATAGATATCTATCTCATGGTGTGAGGCTGTTCTACTTCCTTATAGATACTTCATTATAAGAACATTAATATTTGATTGTGAGAATTGTCCTAGACCCCTTGCATGTATTACATGATGTATGTACTACATTATTTTTCTAAAGTCCAACATTTCCAAATTCCAACCTTTTTGTTCCAAGACTTTGAATATGGTGGGCCAGAATATTAAGATTAAATCTCGTGCAAGAAAATATGACAGACAATACAGGGAATGAATGTAAAGATTCACATAAATTCAATATTTTAACAACTCATGGAGGCAAACGGTATAGTTTCTATTTGTATAAGAACATTTGATAATAAAAATATCCTTAATGAAGAACTTAGTTTTCATAAATAGAAATAAGCCTCAAATTAGACTTCATAATGTATAAAATACAGTTATCCTATCAGTGAAAGGAAACTTACCTCTTCTTCATCTACATGATATTCATCCAGAGGCTGAAGAACAACCATCCTCCAGCTGTAGAAGATACAAATCAGTGTCCAACAGTTCTGTGTCAGCAATTATCAATAAACACACACACACACACAAAAAAAAAAAAACAACACCCTGATCTGTGGGTATTTGCCAATTCTGTGTGTGAAGACTTCCATCTTGGTTTCTTTTGAGTTTAATAACTGCATCACAAAATTCCTCAATATTAAACAACCAGCTCAACCATCAGCTCTAGCCTATCACATAAGTTGAAAATCGTTGCTATAGAACATAACCACAAATAATGTTATCTCTTATGTAGAATATATCAAAATTCTCTGTAGGAATGCTCATTGAGAGAATGAGAAATGAGCTGGAATAGAGAGCAGTAGGAATTATGGGAGTTGTCACCAGCTCATGCCTCTGTTTCCAGCCTCTTCTATCTCTACTAGTGCCAGATTCATATTCTTAAGAAACTGCTTGCATCATCGCTAAAAGAAATGGACTCACTTGGCCGTCAGCAGGAAGCATTTTTAGGACCTCCACAATCTGGTTCCAAGTTCTCTTCTGACACTGATTTCCTTTATTGGCCTCCACCAGGCCTGTCTGCCGGCTGAGCCATGCCCAGGTGTCTGTGGCCTTTGCTGGGGTCTCCCTGTGTGAGCAGGCCCCCTCCTCCATGACGTGTTCCCAGCCACCTTTCTGTTTAATGTGTTTATTGCTGACTTGGCACGTTTGTTGTCACAGGCGTTACTGTCTTACAGTGTGACTACCCCATGCAAGGTATACTTGCTTTCTTTGGACTCATTTTGCAACCCTGTGCAAACCTCCATTTTAAAGAGCAATTATTAATTCAAGTATAATTGTTTGCATACCTAAAATACATTTTAGTGCCATATACGTAATAGATAACTAAATACTGAAATTAAAAAAAAAAAAAAAAGACCATTTCAGAGTAAGTCAGTCTTAGGAATTCTCGTTTATAGAAACTGAGAAGGAAACTTGTGGCACTTTTTTTCAGCAAAGTAATATAAAATTTTCTCCATTTCTCCTCTATGGTTAAGGAAGTGGGAAGAAGGGGAAAAGCAGCATCTTTTTATTAAAGTTTTAGCTTCACTCTGAAAATTTAAGTTATTCAAGGAAAGGAAGGAAGAAATAAAATGGACACAAGTATACATACCTTGGAGTAAGTATTTCCTTATATTGGAGTTTCTCTAACTTAGCTGGGGCCACTAATGACATGGGAATCACAATATTATCTATGTCATAAGAACTCTCACTTCTCAGTCTCCGTCGTGCAGTATTCTGCAGCAAAATAAGATTATAGTAGTTTTACACCAGTATATACCTATATATTGTTTTATAAATACATCATTAAAAATCTGACTATAAAATGTTGAAAAGGCAAGAAAACATACTTGTCTTCTATAACCCAGACAGTCTTTGTATTTTTTGGTGGGTATGCAGTATACATTTGTGTGTGCACACATTACAAACTTACGTTTATGACCATAACAATTAGAAATGCCCTGAAATGCAAAACTCCTATCGTATGAAGCACCTGAAATGTCAGTGAGATGATTGAACTTCTTTAAAAATTGATTTCACAGAGGAGAGGGAGAGGGAGAGGGAGAGACAGCAACATCAATGATGAGAGAGAATCATCGATTATAAGTGGCTGCTTCCTGCTCTCCCTCCACTGGGGATTGAGCCCCACAAGCCCCGCATGTGCCCTGACCAGGAATCTAATCGTGCTCTCCTAGTTGATAGTTTGATGCTCAATCACCGAGCACACAGGCCTGGCAGCAAGCTCACTTTTTATTGTGAAAGACTGGGATATGAAGTATTTCTATGAAATACTTGGTGAGTCATTTAGTAAATACCATTTACAATCTTAATGTATTTTCCCCAAGTTTAGCACTTTTTTCTAATCCATCTCACTTTTTTTATTTAAAAAAGTTTTTATTGAT